TTTGAATTGCAGTTGACAATATGGAAGGAGGAATTTGAAATGAAAATATCTTATCTAAACTTCCTTTGCTGCTACTTCTATCTGTGAAATGGAAATAGCATTTTCTTATTCAATCCCTATCTTTTATGTAATGTAAAACAGTTGGTTCAAGAATTTTCTCACTGTTCATTTTGCTTGTACCAAGGCCTGTATTTTCATATGAAGTTTTGGGGTACTACCACTAGTGATGCACTGTCGTGAAACAACTGCAAAAGAAAATGTAAGGATGATGCTTTGAAACAGTCTGTGAAAGTTTAGTGGTAGTGTGTGCGTATTCTTGTTTGAACAGAAACATTTCTCATAGCAATCAGTGCTGGCCTCCAAAGATGTGATGAATATGATTTTGTACCTTTGTTTCAGTGAAATATTTATGTCAACAAAGATGTTTCTGTATGAAGCAGTACCAGCAGGGAACAAATACATTGCCTTGTTTGCCAGGCAGAAATGGTAGAACTGCAGTAGTGTATCAGAGACTTCTCCATTAAAAAATGAAAATTAAAGCAAAGTCATCAGTGACTACATGCATTTGGGATATTCTAATCAAAAAAGTCTCTTTCTATCTTGAGGTGACTTATTGAAATGTCATCAGTTTGCATGTTTGCAGAGAAAAGTTTAAGTAGCTGCTGTGAAATGTGTAATTTCATCAAGAATTTTCTAGTTTTACCTAAATCAAAATTAACCTGTGTGGAATTACAATAAATGGAATAAGAAACTATTTTACAGAAATTTCTACCTTCATCTTCAAAGTAAATTAAGGAGATTCATATAATTGTTTTTAACTTTCATCCTTAAAAGCTGATTATTTGGGGGAGTTCTCTTCAAATGTTTTTTAAGGAATACTGATTGTGATCAAGAGCTTAGAATATGAAAATATATGCTTATCTTTTTTTCTTCACTATGTCATGCAACATTTCAGAAAGCTTGGTTGTTTTGAACCTTTCTCCATAAAAGAGCCATGTAGTGGTACGTAAAGTAATATTTTGACAAAAACATGACTTTTCATTTAATATGTTTTCCCTATGGAATATAGGAAGTGGAGCTATCTAAATCAAATGCCATGTGTACACAATGTACTGTAAATTTAATATTCAAGTCTTTGTGGGGCTTGGATGGAGCTGGTAGTATGAATCTCTAAAATACAGGCTTGAATTCTTCTTAGGCATCCTGTAAGCTTTAATGGATGAGTTACATGAGTTGAGAGTGGGTGAGTGGATGTTTCTGGGCAATCATCTACAAATGAATTGTACAAGCTTTGACTAACTGTATTTGGTCTGGACGGTGTTACTGCAAACCTGCTAGAAGTACAGTGTAAGATTGTTTCACTTCTTAAGCGGAGTCACAGCCAAGTCTGAGATGCCAAATGGATACATGATACTTCATCAACTAGAACAAGGAGTGAAGCTTGTTGCGCCTTCGACTTGCTTTGACTTGCTAGATCACTAATATGCATGTATTCTGCTTAATAACTTAACTTTTATGAATTCTAAAGTTGTATTCCTGTATTACAACTGAGTTTCATGCTGCTGCTGGGAATTTCTAACATTGCATCAAGCATGTAGCCAGAATTGTTCTAAGGGCCTCACTCTCAGTTACAGTCACACACACTCTGTAACACTGTTACAGTATCAGTTTTCCCATGGTAGGGTCCAGTTGGTCTCTGTCCACTCCAGTCATTTTGACCACTGAGTAGCAAAAATATTGTCATTTGAGAAACTGTCCTCTGCACACGTGCAGCCTGGGACACAAGAACACTATTGCTCTGTTGCCGTTCTTCCAGAAGAGCGGTTGGATTCTCTTCTTTCCAGAAAGTAGAAAGAGGAAAGAGTCAGCTTCTACTTTTAGATTTTTGTCTTTTTTGTCTGTTTTCCCACAGAATAGAAACTAGAATTTCTGTATGTTTTAGCTCATGGAGCCTGGAGCATCTGGCAGGGTGCATGGACTGGCAGATGCTATGGCAAAACGGTCTGCTAGATCTTTCTGCTAGGCTTTTCTGAGTCTGAGCAAGAGACACTTGAGCACTGCTAACACACTTCCATCTCAGAGTGCCCAGCAGACGTTTTTAAGGCAGCTAGAGCGAGGGCCAGATGGAATTACTATGGAAACAAAACTATATTTTTTAAAAGTCCGAGATCTCTTCATGGTAAGCCTAGAGAGTCACGTTAAAATCAGAGAATATGAAATATTGGCCATTAATCAGTAACTGTAAGGTCTAGTAGTCTCATGAAAAATAATAATAAGCTAGGGTGTTTTGCTGTCATAACAGCAGAATATATAGGCTAAATGATCCTCTCTTTGGAGATGTCTGAGGACTATTTAAGAAGAAGATCAAGAAAGGTTTTACCTGCAGCTTGTCAGGGATGCTGCCACTGAGTAATCATTAAAATAAACAGACCTGGTGGGAGTCAGACTGTTTTCTAAGTTTTCTTTCTACAGAATGATTTGGAAATGTGTTGCAACTCTCTGATTGGAGTAAGGCATTCCAGTACAGCTCCAGTTAAGAGAGAAATGATGATTGATACGTTTCACTAAACTTACGTATCAGTGAAGATAACAGGAGTTCAGTTTTAGTTGAAGCTTAAGGTTGCAGCATACATAATGCAAGCACAAGACTTTTAATTCATATTTACAAAAGGATTTTGGAGAAGAACTCAGCAGTTCATAGACTATCAAGTCACATAAAGAAGGACTTGGAGAGTAACTTTCCTGGCACTTCTTCAATACATCTGCATCACTTTGCGTTCGTGGAAAGCTGAATGAATGCGAATCACACCCTTCCTTCAGCTAGCATCTGCTGTTGTGTTACTAAAACTGTAATGTTGATCACAGTAAGGTTAGGCATAAAGGTATTTGAGGGGGCTGTGGTTGTTTGTGTAAACCTGAGCTTAGCTTGGTATGATAGTAGGTAACATTTAGAACAGGAATGAGTACATTTTTCTCCTGTCTTCTTACGTGCATCGTGTTATGCCTGGATACTGTATAATGGCAGAATTTAGGACACCAAAGACATTCCGAGTGTTCAATCACCTCATCTGTGATAGGGAATTTAGAATTAAAGTCGATCCAACATATTACTGCAAACCACTATATTCACAGGAAGGTAATTACTGAACTGGTGGCCAATAGGAATGTCTGACTAGTATATATAACTCATTTAACATATCATCTGAAGGTGTCAGCATAGCCTGATTTATAAAACACGAGAGGAGAGAAGGGATAAGAGTTATCTCCTTTAGCTCTGGAAATGACTGGAGGAAGGAAGCAGTGTCTGCCTTTGACTGCTGTGGACGTAGCTGTACATACATCGTTGCCTCTGCAGTTCTGATGATCTGGACTAAAATAATTTCATTTTTAATTTCCCTAAAAGTTTTGTATTAAATGAGGAAGTTATTTTCTGGTCATAAAGCCTGAAATCTTAAACTTAGGCATCTATTATTGAATTGTTTAATCAAAATAACTATTTGGGCTGTTTCACTTTCCAGTAGTGTAGCTTATACAGTATCTTTTTCCCCCAAGAGTACTTTGTTGTAACTGCAATACATACAATGCAGAGGCATCTTTTATTTATCTTTTGATAACTTGTTTTTGTAATCTATCAAGTGAAGTATACTTAGAATAAAGCAGAAAGTTTTTGTGGGTGAATTTCTTTAGTCTGTCACTACCTTGTTCTGTCTTACGCAGTTAGCATAATACTTATTTCCTCCATCAGAATGGAACTGGCATCATTGGCATCGTGCCATTGGCATCAGAATTAAGATTCTGACCCCAAGGTCAGAGTAGTAGATCGGAGTTTCATTCTGTGGAGCATTACCCTCCTGTAACCAGTGTATAAATGATAAAGGCTTACCAATAATTCCTTACTATAAGTTTTGATAATGTTGGTGTCTGACTGGTGGTATTTTGAATGCCTTTTTTAGATCTCCTGTTTACTGTAGTGCTGATTGTCTTAATATTATTATGCTCTATTTTAATTAATTTCATATCAATATCAATATATTTGAAGCAGTATTTTTTGACATTTCATTTGCACCCAAATTTAGTTGTATTTAGGTCAGAAGCCAGTTTTGTTTGTCCTGGTTTGCTTTTTTTTTGGTTTTGCTTCTTGGTTAAGTGATTATAAAAAGGAATTCATCTTTTAAAAGAATATGTGTGATAAGAGGAAATTAAATGAATTGTACTTGTGAGAGCCTATTTTTTCTGTAGCGCTTCCTTTGCAGTTGATATATTATAGCTTAAAAGATTTAATTATCTATGTTCAGTGTTTAACCATAATGTTCTTACGATGTATCGAGACCTTTGTTCTTTGGAAAAATAAAGTGTAGTCAGTGGTTTGATAAAATAGTGTACAAAAATAATTTTCTCATTAGAGTGCCATTAGTTCTTAAAATCTAATTAATTAAAATGATTGAATGCAATAGGAGCTAATCTCCCAAATTGTAACAATTAGAAGAAAGGAAATACAGCAGTGTACAGTACTATTTGTTTTGCCAGTCTCAGGAAGTTGAGTTGCATGGCGATAAATGTGACTTTTCAGATATTCAGTAATAAATTCTGTGTTTCAGTGTGCAAAAGAATAGACAATTACTTTTTCTAAAGCAATTTAAGTACTGCTGATTTGCGAAGTAGCTCCCTAACTTTCCTCACTTCTTACATGCTTTATATGCAAATTTTTAGTTAAATCCCATTGCTGTATACATTGACATTTTTATTAAAAAACATTAGAGAAGAAAGCAAGCTTTGGAGTGTGGATTTTGCATCTGTCTGTCATCTGGCTAAATATACACTTTGAAGTTATATAACAGTTTATGTGTTTTTTATGAACTGCATTAAAGTTTTCGAGAGCCAACTTCTGTGAGTCCACGGAACATAGTGGAAGTCATTTCTTGCAAGAATTGGCTCTAGTGATGGTTGTTTGGTGTTAGTCAGAGTGATAAACTTTTAATTATTTTTCCTTTGTTTTGCAGTGTTCTGGATGATGAGGGCAGTACTTTGCGTCAGCAGAAGCTTGACAGACAGGTAAGATTTTGGACACTGCTTGTTCCCTTGGAGCAGGGAAATGGCTGACACATTTCTAATAACTGGTAGATGTATCCTGCCAGAAAATTGCATATAGCCATTGGGGATTGCAAAAGAGAAGACGAAGGTTATAGCTTACAGAGAAGTCTAACTTCCACTGAAGTTTTTCTTATGATTGAAGTTTGAGTAATTCTCACTCCCTCCACCTAGGGCTTGTTTTAAGATAACTTGAAGGACCAGAAAAGACAAGAGATTCTTGCAGGCATGTCGCCAAATAGAAATTCACCATCCAATTTTTACGTCTTCTCCATTCCCTGCATTTAGCCCATGTAAACTAATGGTATTTTGTGCAGTGTTGTCTATTTGCTACTATATTTCTATGTGCCTTATACAACAAAGTGATTCAGAATCTCTCATCTGAAATCTAAGAGATTTTTGCCATTAAGTTTTAATCGAGGTTAGAATTTTTACCTTTGGTTTTTCCATGTATATTCATTTCTGTATATCTTTGTCATGTTCATAGTTAAGTTGTGTTTAATTTTCTCTTGTCCTATCCACTTCTGGCATCGTTTTATGAGCCTGGGTTTCATCTTCAAATTCAAATCCTTTCTATTTATGACATAATTTTGATCTTGATTCTGACCTTCCTAAGGTTGTGTTGAGGTGTTCAGCACATCTTATGGGCCTGAAAGTTGTCTGGCTTTCATTCTTGTTCTCCAGTTTTATTGCATCTGTATTCTGAAAGCAAAAATCACTGCACAGGAGCAGGGAAAAGCAGTAAGGTAATACTGGATAATTAAAATTATCAGTTTCTCTGAGTTCTCTAAGATTGTGGAAAAGGACCGGAACAGAAATGTGCCTGTGGTGCCCTCAGATGCTGAGGGCATCTGGGAGAAGAGACTTATACCACTGGTAGGGTAATTAATTCCCTGTCTCCCATCTGTACTACTTTGGTTTTCATCAGTTATAACTGAGAAACCCAAGTGTTTAATTAAAGGTCAGCTTGCATAGTTAAATCAGTTTCATGTCTAGCCTTACCACTTGATTGTAGTTCACAGATTATCTGCTCCTGATTTACAAAAACTTAAATTGACATCTTTGTGCCTCGTGCGTTTACTCACCTTCCCATTGCTTCACAGCCAGTACTCACACAGTGTTGTTTTCCCGAGTTATTTCCAAGCAGTCTCTGGCAGCTGGTAGACTGCTCAGAAAGATCTATTTTGATTATTTTGTATTTTCTGGAAAAGGTATTTTGGTGGTGGATTTTGGTGGGAGGAAGATTGCCTATAACGTAATACCCAGTATCTCCCTTACTAGTTCTCACCATTGGAAAGCTCTAACAGATATAAAGAAATCCATTGCACTTCGTCAGAGATTGCTGTTGTTTGGAGTTCAGTAACAGATACTTTTCTTTGCATTTCCCTCAGCGAGCATTGCTAGAACAGAAGCAGAAAAAAAAGCGCCAGGAGCCATTAATGGTTCAGTCCAATGTGGACAGTCGCACAAGAACGCGCAGAATGAAACATTCGGAAGAACAAGCACCACTGGTTGAATCATATCTTAACAGCAACAGCAGCGCCATATATCATGGTATATGAGTATAAACTATTGCATGCCTATTTACTGCACGTATGATGCTCTCAATGTTAAATGTGCACTATGAGAACAAATCCTTTTGAGTAAATAATTGGTAACCTTAATTTGTATTTGGGAGTAAAGACATCAGAACTTCCAAGGCTAGTCTCAAAGGTATAAACCAAGTTGCCCTTTCAGGGGTGTGGGAGAAGAAGCTGATGCAGGGAATATTTTAGTGTCTTCAGCCTATGCTTCAGCTTATGCTATACTGCTTTGTGACCGTCTCTGTGTGTATGTTTCTGTGCTTAAACCCATCAGTCCTCAAGAATAAATTTGAACTTTGTTCACCAATTTTAACTAAGTTTGGCTGTAAAAGTCTCAAAGATCCTGCATTTTGTCTAAGTTTCTTTAAAATAGACGATCACATAGAAAATAATATTTGAAGTTTATATCATGTAGTTTTGATTTTATTAATAGAGGTTATAGAATCCAAAAGGGTCAGAGAAACTTCAAGTATTGAAGCCATACAGAAAAAAGATATATATTGCCATTTATATATTGGTAGGCTCCGAAGAATTCTTTTATGAAAAATCAATCACAAGGAAGTTAGTTTTTATTTAGTTCTGTGCTCATTATTCACGCTTGTAGACACCTAATGAGAGTAGGTTCAGGCTTTTCCTCAGGATTTCCTAAGGGGAAATTTGGGTCATCTTTGCTCCATATCTGTCTTTTACAGATCTCATTCCAGGATGCTAAAACCTCCATGAGTTATAAAGAAGAATGATTTTCCACCTTTATTACTTTGCAAATCCTTAAATTGAAATTTATAATGGAGTGTAACAGCAAAAGGCTTGTTTTTCTTGAGTACTATGGGTATGTGGGCCATGAACTGAAAACCACAGTACCTACTACTTTAGGTTCCTTATATCAGCTAAATTTTGCAAGTTTGCACCATAGTGGACTTTATGATGTGAGATTAGCTGTACTTTTAAAGCAAAACTTGATCATTCATGTGCTTTTTTTATATGTATATTTATATTTTTTATATATATATACACACACCGTTTACTAGAATTCTAATTTCTTCTCTTTAAATCAGTTCTGTTTAGAATTTTTTTTCTCTCATACACTTTCAGTTATTTGACAAGTTTTCAAAGAAGCAAGACATTTCTTGTAGCCAACCGAGAGTCTGTTAATCTTTTGGGGATAGCTGTCCTTATAATAAACTATGAAGTTACCAAAAGCCAACTTAGGAGAATATAATTGTCTAGTAAAGTGTTTTATTGCCTTGTAAAAACCTCCGTTAGGAACATTGCTCTTGAAAACATTAAGAGCTTCAGAAGTGTCCTTTTTTGGTGTGGTCTTCTCTGGGAATGTGCTTAGTGTCTCAGGATACAGTGTTCTCATGGTACGTATTTAGGTTGAAGGCCATTTTTAACTATGGCATTCAGCTTCAGGCTTTGTGCTCTTTTTTCCCCCTTCAATGAAAACATTTGTACGTAGGAGTGTCGGATGCATGAGACAGCTGGGCTGCTTCTAAAGAACTATTCTGCTCTTTTCCGTTCATTTGTTTCTGTTATGGGCATGCTGATTTTAAGTTAAGAATGACTCTTTGATGGAAGCTGACATCCTAGTGAATGAACCTCATTGCTTGGATGAGCGTGTTTGTGAAATCAATTCCTATAATGCAAATGCTACAAAAAAAAAAAAAAAGCCACTTCTTTCCACCTATCATCCCTTACATCCCCTCATCCCCTGTTTTTTGTTTTTTTTTTTTTCAATAGCGATAGCTCTATAATACTTTGAGCAAAATAGGTCAGTGGTTTCAATTCTGAGATGTTAGGCTTTGGGTATTGGGAAATTGTTTTTCATACACTGCCATCATTCACTCTAATACAGTTTTCTGTGCTGGAATGGTTCTCTGATGGGCAACTCTATTCTGGAATAAAAACTGATTTTATTCCAGAATTATTATTGGAGAGTAGAGTAAAAAAGTCAAAATTACTTTTGTCTTGAAAAAGAAGAACCATCAACCTGGGGAGGTGTTTGTAGATAGATAGAGTAAAACAGCATATTTTGTTAGTGAAGTTGATTGTACATTTTTTCAATATAAAGGAGACCTTAGCTGCTCTTGAGTCTCTGCATGCACAAGGTGATTGCTATTAGTCCTCTGATTGCAGGTGTATTTTATTTCATCCAGTTTGGGGTTGGGGAAGGGAATAAATCTAAGATGCAACAGGATGGGCGGATATTAAGGGCTGTGACTAAGGTCAGCTGAGGCAGTTCACAAAGAGGATAATAACAGTAAAGCTTTGCGATGTTTCTGTTGACTAGATTTGAAAATGCTGGGATCAGTTTTAACTTTCTGTATGAAATGGAGCAGTCGCAGAACTCTCAGATTTTTGTTTTGTTAGCCTAGTAAGTGAGTGAATGGCTGACCCTGCTGAAAGGCTGTCTTCGTGGAGCAACAGTCAGCAGCATATTTTTTTCTTAGATAACTTCAAAGCAGAGAGCTGACAAGGTAGGATGAGATGATTTCTCCACTCCCTGTCAAGTTTTATTAGTAATTCCTCTGGGTGCCTTCAGGCTTTTAAGGATATGGGTGCTCTACCCCTGAAGAAATGGATTAGCACTGCATAATTCATTGTGCAAAATCCCCCAGATGGATAATTTCTTCTCAGCTCCTGATTATGTTTTACCCGCAGGTGTAACTTAGAATCCTGTAGCTTGCGAGTTACTTGCATGTCAAAATAAGAGTTTTTTTTTTTTTTTTACTTTTTTTTTTTTAAAGCCTTTGGTTACTAGCCTATTGACTAATTCATTAGTAACACTAAACTCTTGTGAGTTACCTGTGGGAACTGACATGAATTAGGTTGAACAACCTGAGATAAAAGGAAGCCGCAGTGCCCCAGTCCATAGGAAGGGCTAGTTTGAGCTGGAGTGTTAGCCAGTGGTTATGCCACTTAGCTGCTCAAATGATTACACTTCCCATCACTTGTCTTTAAGCATCTACGTATCAGGGAGCATGCAGGGAACTGCTTTAATCATTTGGAAAGGATTAAAGAGATATTTAATATGAACAGAACCTCTGCTTTTATAATTTGTGCACACGGGAACACAAGCACACTAATAGGAGAAATAGTTCCGTGCAACATTCTAGGGTAACTTTGGGACACAGATGAGTATAAGGAGATAAAATGTTCCTGTAAAATGATGACTACAGTGCTTCTTTTTACACCAAAATGTAAGTATTAATATAATTTTGGGACTACAGATGTAGTTGAGACCCTGGACTGCCTGCCTGCTATTTCAAGCAATAGGTATCTGGTGGAAGTTTGTTACAAAATTTGGAAATTTGAATAAACATCATAGCCTGATTTGAGATGGCAGGATTCGGCGATGAGCACGATTCTGCTCAGTCTGGATTGCAAATGTTTGCTGGGCGTTCCTGGAGCTAAGTAACCATGCAGAGATAAACTAGTTACTGCAAAACTAATTACATTATTTAATTGAATTTAATGTAAATTATGAAAGTGCACTTTTGTGGGGAAGAGAGTGATATTATTTCTTTGAAAATGGTTCATTTCCACTGAGGAGAGATTTACTTTTCATGGGACTGAATAAGGCAAAGATTTGAATGAGTGCCAGTGATGCTTTCATTAATATTACCATATTTTGTTGCAGATGTGACTTTTCTTAAATGTTTGGAATTAAAAATATTTTGAATTAGAGTCTCTCGAAATAATTTCCATTGCTACTTCCAATGTAGAGGTTTAGATTAACCATGTGTAGAAAACCAAAATTACTTTCCTTTTTGACATTTGGCAGCGTGCCTTGATGAAATGGTTGTGTTGTGCAGATTTTGGATGACAAGTCATAGCTCTGGGTTGTTAAATTTGACATGTCATTCTGCTCTTTGATCATGAATGATGAGGGAGTGTTTTCTGATGAGTATCAAGCTATCAATTTACAAGGTGGACATTAGTTAACCACGCATTTTAAAAATACTTGTGTGTTCATCAAAACACTTTCTCATACTCCTGTTTCCTGACTGTGAAAGGTATGTTTGTTTTTAAGACAGCAAAGAGTATATTCTGTGCATAAGACTGTACTCTTAATTCTTGGAGTGCTGCCTGACCTCTCAATATCATGTGGATAAAATACTGTACTTCGTATAATCGTATATTCTGAAATGTCCCTTTCAGCCCTGAGCTCTTTGCCAACACTCTTTAAAACATTTTGATTTATCAACAGTCCTTATTGTGCTAGTGCATTAATAAATCAATTCTCTAACTCCTTACTGGCCTTTATCTTCCTGCTTTAGGTTTTCCACAGATAATTTTAGCTTTTGTTTTTAATTATTTTTCTCCAAGGAGTCTAATTCATTACTACCAGCTGCATTTCACATGCTCCCACTTCTCCGCTCGTCGGTGTTCAGAGAGCAGATCCCTGGAGGTTAAGGGGATCTTTCGTCTGTTGCTTCATACCTTCTGAGGAAGTTCCTTTGTAACAGGGAGGTTTTGGTTGTGTCTTCAAGCGGCTCCAAATTATTGTGTACACTTGTTTGTTATTCTGCAACCCATTCACATGCAGTTTCATTTATGATTATCTTCACCTTTGTAAAGTCAGCTAGAGTAAACACAGCAGTGTTAGCTATATGAACTGTAAGGAGTTCACGGTGAATTTATTATTAACATATTTTTTAGGAGATCTGGAATCTGACTGTGAATTCCTAGTTGCAGGAGTAATGCTTGGGATTATGGTATTTTGAAGCAGAAATCAAGTCTTCATATGTGATTAACTTCTAACATTTCATGACTATTATCCTAATTTCGGCCTTTGTATTTAACTAGTTTTATCATCAGGATAAAACAAATAATAGTTGCAAGCTACTTGCAGGTGAAATGCGAGAGCATCTCAAACAATACCAGGAAACTGCTGACTGGTTTTGTAAGATGCCTCTAGTTGAGTTTTCTTAAGATAGTCATTTTGGCTTTCACTTTTCTGTGAGAGGCCATTGATTAAGCAGGCTGCATATTTGCTTTATACAGTTCAGCCAAGGATTTGCAACACACAACTTATCCATCTGGTTTAGCCTCTTCCCACTTGAGGTGTTTCTCAGGCAGGCTGCATTTTTTTTTTTTTAGTGTTTTCATATGTAAGATCTGTTTTGGGGGATTTCTCCACCCCGTGCCCCTCTATTTTTTTTCTTTTCCCCCTATTTTTTCCCCCTTATTCTTTCTCCCCCTATTTTTTTCTTTTAGCACTTGGCATTTTCATGTGATAGGGATTAGAAAATTATGATTGATATTTTTTTTTCCTCTAGGACTGTAAGAGTGTGCAAGAATCAGGCTGTAAGGGTATGCAGATGAAAAGAATAATTGCAGTTTGTCTGTGTGCTACTTGGAAATTATTTTTCTGCATGAAGTTGTGATCATGAGTGACAGATGGAAAAACATCCTTTTTTATTCATTTGAATATGTTCAACCATTTGTAGCTCTACCCTGTAAAATGCAGTACTGTTCAACACACAGGTTGCTCATGAGGGAAACTGCTTTTCCCCACTTCCAGCATTAAAAGCATTGGCAAAGCAAGGGAAAGCCAAATACCTTGTTCTGTTGTCATAAGTCTTCTTATGCTTACCTTGTGTTGTGTTAATAGAGTGCTTGTTGCTCTTTTCCTGTTTCTTTAGTTCAGATTCAGAAATAATGTTAAATATTACAATATGGAGATTAGTGTTCAGTAATTGATTACATGAACGTGTCTCAATAACACTAAAATTAAAATCATGTCATTTTTATTATTTGATAGTTTGTCAATTATCTCAAAACTACTACTTATGATTTAAGAGACCAAAACAGAATGAGACACACCTGAGTTTGTACAGCCAGTAGTAAAAGTGCACAGTTTCTTTTATCACTTTACTCAGCAAAGAAAGCATTAAGGAGTGGTTGATGAGCCTTGGCCAAGATCTGCTGTTGTCTGAATAATTAGTAGCTGAGAATAAAATAACGGGGATTTTTTTGTGGGGAAGTTAGAAACAGGGCATCCCCTGTTGACTTCTTTCATGAATGCAGCTACAGATTTTGCACATGGATAGTTTAAATCTTGCTATGGAAACTCCATCACTGACATCCGAAAGCCCTGTCCCCGTATATGGCAGGGACGCAGTATCTTCAAAATGGTCACTGGACTGAACTCTTGTCTTCACCTTAAAGATCAAAGCAGTGGAAATGTTCCTTCTCTTTCCTGTAGAAGTCCCACTTCTATGGCTAGTCACATATATCTTGATGAAAGTTATAGGACAAAACTAATTTATAAAATTTCAGACTTACTTATTAGATCAAAGGATCCTTGACAAGATAGTGAAGATAGGTCTTCCATTTTTCAATTACCAATGTCAGAAGATTTCATCCCTTCTTGATTAACCATTATTTTGGGCTAAGTAAATGTTTTGTCTGAACGAATGACTGTGGCCACGTTTATTCATGTTCTCATAAAAGAAAAAAAGGATAGTGGGAGGCCCTAAGTGTCAGCATCATATTCCTCTAAGATAAATCCCTATCACGACACGTGAAGCCAGAGGGCTTATCAATTAATAGAGAGAGAGCAGCTGGTGCCAAAACCTCTCCGTGCCCACCTCTAGGCTCCTCTGCCCGGGGCTCGGAAGTTGGATGTTTTCTGCATGCTTCTTACAAAGGTAATTGCTTTTATGCTTTTGTAAACTCATTTTTATTTCACTTCAAGGCTTGCTCTGGCCAGAAGAATGAGTTATTGTGTTATGTTGCTTTCATAGATTTCAAATATTGACCTCAAAGTGTGCCGTGCTTTTAGAAAATGATAAAACCTCTTTTGACTTTGAAAACAGCCAGCACTGGATGTTTTATGCTGACATTCACAATTCACTCCATGTCTCTTAGGCTGAGATTTCAAAAGAATTAATTTGCAGATACTATGAAGTGAGAGCACTTTGTAATTTCAGCCTGGGCTATAATTTCTCAATAAATGCATGGCGGTTCTACTAATCATAGCATGGTATATGGAATTGTATAAGATGCATATTTTGAAAATAAAACTTCTGATGATTCTTTGCTTATGGAGTTAGGATGTAGCTGTAAGCATATTCACTAAAAAGTGTAAATTAAGGCATTCTGTCTTCATGCTGCCAGTCTTGATGGTCAGTCTGACAGTTTTGCTATGATGAAAAGCGCTGCTTACGTTAGCTTAAAAACACATTAATCTTCTGATGTTATTTTTGGCCTGAAAGGTGATAAATTATTGAAAGGGGGGAAAAAAAGTTAGGAAATGCATCCTATCCAAAAACACCTTCAGTTTTTGACTGCTACTGTGCATTTTGTGGCTTATTTAAATCTTACCTCTGCATGAATTGCCTGAAATACCAATCAAACCCTAGGCTTTAGGTATACTTAATCCTTTGTGCCTTCAACAGATTCTCAATTTGTTTCTCTCTCTCGCTCTGTTTTTCCTTTCTTGGTGGGTTACCCCGAATCTCTCAAGCAGTGCAGGAGGCTGAACAGGAAGATGTAAAGGTGGTAGTGGATGTCCAAGCTCCGAAACCAACGAAAAAAAACAAGGCAGCAGCTGCCAGCTGTCAGACTGGCAACGCCAGAAAGGAGAAGAAAGGGAAACACAAAGGTTAGATGCATGCTGCTGAGTGTCAAATGTTGAATTGATTGCACAATATCCTTTTTTAATTTCTATTTCTTTGAATACCAGTGAATTTTTGATAGTTGAAAATTGCCTTAAATTAACTGGAAGATGTGAGTGACTTGGGTCCTGTCTCAGCTTGTAGAATCTGAGAGTGAGGACAGGCTGAAGTTTGTAAAACAAGTATTTTCCAAAGCAACATATTTATATTGTAGAGGAGGAAAAAAGTTTTCGTGCAACAAGACACGTTTCATGAGTTTTAAGGAAGTGAGAGCTGACTTGCACCAGTGTCATGTAATGCACCAATCTGCATGAAATGTAATTTGGAGGAACAGCCTTAAATTGCAGTCATTTCTATCCAATGGTTCCTCGGCACACATTTTTAACTTTAAGTGGAAGTTTGGTTGACTTCAACAAAACCAAGCTAGGATCCTCACTGCTGTTCTTGAGTTGTTACTTCAGCGGTACTTTACCCTACATATGCATTTATTGATTTAAATTTGTTTAAATTATTTGAATATTCAAAATTATATAATTATTAAGATTTTTTAAAAATATGTGTGCTAGTATCTGAGCTAAATAAAAGTCAAGTCAAAAATTGAAAAGCTAATTTTTACATTAACTGAATGTAAAAATTGCTGGCAAGGTAAGTGGACAGAAAGCTCTTCTTTCAGAACTTACATAGAAACTAATTCTGTTCTGGACTTAGACTGTAGCTGACCATTTTATAAGATGATACTTAAATCATAATTACTGCACATTGTAAAGCTGGAGTGTTTCTGGGAGATTTTAACTGACTTTCAGTCTTGCATCCTTAGCAAAGCTGCAGAATATTTTAGTACTGGATGAAACAGAAAATCTATGAATAGCCTTCCAATTCCAAAGGGATTTTACTTGAATCCACTGCAAAAAAATGCTAATTTGTGTTTCTTGGGTATGAAGAAAATGCAAGAAGTAGCACAACCTTGTAGTGACAATCATGTTATCAATTTTACAGTTACTCCTAAGAGGAAGCAAATTTCTTTAAAAAACAATTTTATATGAATACTGACTGGAGTTAATAATAAGGTCAGATCCAACTAATGAAAATGGGTGAAAATTAAATATATGTAAGGGGAAAAGATACTTGTTTTGAGTGTTGTGCTTCTATATAGCTCTTGGTGATGACTGTGGAGAAGTCCCTTAGGTGAGCAGAGCACTATTCTGAGTTTGTTTTTTTTTCAGATGCACTTGTCTATATATCCTCTGTTAATGGCAGAAGGTTCAGTTCATAGACTTTTTTTTTTTTAAAAAGCACACATTTCCTGGGGGAAGAACAGTATATTGATATTAGATCAAAGCTGTGGAAATCACAGTTTCTGTTTTCAGCTTTGGAGTTGATTTTGTTGTTGTTCCCCTTCTCACTACCATGTAGGGGCGTCTCAGTGAGATTGTGCGACTTGCATTAGCCTTGAAAAGGACTCCAGGATTCTACAAAGAAGGGGGCTATCAAGCTGTTTATACTTCTTCTATTCTAGTAATTCAGAACAGACTTGTTTATTGAATCTATACATGATTAAATGTATATGGTAATACAGTACTGATCAAATTCTTACCTTTATATTCTTGTATTAATCTTTCTTCTAGGAGCTCCTGATTTTATTTGGTCTGATTCATTCAAGTGTGACAGCTATGGTTTTTTGTTGTTGTTTTGCTTTGTTTTTGCTTTTCTTTGAGACTACCAAAACCAGTAGCAAGAAAAGAATCCTTCTGTGTGATGTTTCTCCTGAGCACGGTAGATCACCATGAGGAGATCTACAGGTGCTATTAGATCTACTAGGTGATTTACCAGGGACTTTGACTGCCAGTGGGAGCCACAGTTAGTCACCAGAAGCTGCTCAGCTTCTTGCCTGGCCTAGCTCATAATAAACACGAGTGACATTTGCTTGACAGCAGGAAACATTGCCATTCGTGCACCACGTTTACCTGAGCAGTGCCCACGGGACAGTGCTCGTAGCATGTAGCAGTCTGAGGAAAGCTGATACAAGGGCCCTTGTAAATATTTAACATAAACAAGTAGGGGCAAATACATGTGCAAAACAGCATGGTAAAGGTTTCCTTCACTGTTTAACTGTAGCGAATATTACCTATCTGGGCAATAGCTGAGCCCTTCATGCTTTAAGGAGAAAGAATCTTTAGATTCCATCTTCTGAATAATGGGCTAATTCAGAGCGAAAATCTTTGAATTATACATGAATAGCTCTTGAAGCTATGGTGTAATGATAGTGCTCTGAAGCTTAGATGTGTAATTCTTTTCTAAGTGGCTCCAAGAATGATGAAACTATGATCAGATAAATGTGAGGGAAATCCTGTATCTAATGAGGTTACAGTGGTGTGATGCAAGAGGAGAATGTGGTTAATTGCTTATGTAGGGCTGATTATTCCTCTCCAGTTAGGGGTCAGTGCATTTTGTAATTCTGTGGTGGGTAGTGTGGTGCTTAGCAACTCTTCTAAACCTGTGACTGTTGCTGATATTTCACTCTTAATGATGATATCCAGTACACACTATGCCTATTTTTAAAAAGAAACATCATTTCTGTGGGAAGGAGACTGCAAAAGCAGTAGATAGCTTATATTTTGTAGTAGTTCAACTGATTAAACTGGTATTTCTGCATGCTTTGATCTCCCAGTTTGCTGCTGAATATGATATTGAATATTGGGGAGGAAAAAAGAAGTATGCAAATCCAGGAGCTAGTTCAAAGTGAAATCTGATAGGAAAATTCACGAATCATTCTGTGAAAACATTTTGTTATAATTGAGCATATAGCATATATAGCATGCAAATAATGTCCTGGGAAAACCCTGCTTTGAACTGCACTGGTTCATTCATTGCCATAAGCAATATAAATGAGGATTTTGAAGCTTACATTTGCAGTCTAGTTTTTTATTTAAGTGTTCAACTAAATAATAGCTTTCCTGTGGTTTCTACTTTTTGTTACATTAAATTTCTGTAGTTTTTTGTGCATTCCTTACTCTCATTATGAAAGTCAAAAAGCAAAATGAGCTGCTTTGACAAACAGCATTTATTCTGCCAGGATGGCTATTTCATTCCTTAATTTGGTTTGCTTCTTTCATGTTTCCTTTCTCTCTTTCACGCCTGGCTGTCCGTTTTGATTTGTGCATCCTGTCCCATTTTTTGTATGTAACAAGCAAGTATGTTAATGCTGGCCAACTAGGAAAGCAGCACCATTTGTTGGGCAAGAAGCATCATTTCTCAGCATAGCACTTCCTTGTCTGACAGCAGAAGAAGAGTTCAGGCAGGGTAGATTTATCTTTCTTTCCGTACGTACTAAATAGAAAGGGCAGAAGGAGAAACAAACGAGCTTCAGCCAAGAAACTCCTGATCTGACAGCACTTCCAGGCTATGCTTTGGCAACACGTGAACTTTATTGTGTAGCAGGCATTTTGGCTTCCCTCATACAGATACAGATTTATGCAAGTATAGTCCCTGCTATGATTTTCTTGTTTTCCTGAAGCTGAACCCAGAGTTTATTGTTGAAGGAGAACTCTGTATAACTGTGCTTGTTCTTAGTGACCTAGTCTGGCATTAGCAATAGTCTCTGTTCTAATGGAAGTTTGGACTAAATCACCTCCAGAAGTCTTTTTTTTTTTTTTTTTTTTTTTTTTAAGCCAATATTTCTAGTTGTTCCCTATAAATAAATACTTCAAATGTCTTTGTGGTGTTTGTGCCCACATGAGTGGGCACATGGCCACTGTGCAAGCAGACACACATTGGAAATGGCTTACATAATATTGACAACTAGAATACACCGCACATTCTTTGGTCGTAAAAATAGAGAAATCAATGCATTGAAGACTTTTTAAGCCTTCTTCTTTTTCAATAAATTGCTTCTAAGGAGAGTATTACCCAACAATAGGTTTTCATATTTCATTATAACTATTTTATTAATGCTTCCTAAGCAATAATTCTGAGCATGAACATTTTCTCTGTGTGTGTTTTTCTTTGTTTTGTTTTGTGTTTTTTTTTTTTTCAATA